CCAGACCGTCGGCTTCCACCACCTACTGAGCCGGGGAGCTACCCCGACAGCCGCCCGTCCTCGTTTGCAGGCCGCAGAGACACCCCGGACCGAGCGACCTCCACCTCCATGTACCTGGCCCGTAATGGTGGTCAGGTTCGCTGGCGTGACTGTGCACTTCGTCACGGATCCCCTTCAAGTACGAGTGTCACTGGTGTGGTGAGTCCTCCTCCCTCTCTCTCTCTCTGCCCATTCCAACCCGCTGGCCTGCTCACTCCCACCACCCTTAGTCTTTTCCGGATGCACCTGGCGTCAACCACGTCCAGGTTCACTCAGGTTTCTTTTCAGCCTTTCCCCGCCATACACAGCGCAAGCATTCTCTTACTAACCTCTCTTCTTACTAACCTTTCTCCAAATCCGACCTCGCCAATCGGTTCTTTACGCCAAAAAAAACTTCCCGTAGCCTTTTGTCTCGCTCAAATCCATCGAGATTCGAGCGAGATATAGACTTTCTATTCTCGTCGAGTTTTCCTCCTCGACACTCCCGGCGCACTCACTTTTCTACTAACCTCCCATCCTACTAACTCCCACCTAAAACTGACCCCATATCCCAATTCGCAACTACCTAAAACCCYTATGTCGTGCCTTTCCTCGCTTGATTCCGCAAGGAATTGAGCGAGATACGCTCTTCCTTGTTCCCTTTCCAACACCCTGCCATAGCCACCGGCGCGCGGACCTTCCTTCTTTACTCTTATTCTACTAATCTAACGTAAGAATTGACCCCGCCACTACACTCGCCATGGCCGAAAACCTTCGAGGCGACCCTTCCCCCTCCTGATTCCTTCTAGGATCGCACGAGCTTCGCGATCTTCTGCCCGCCATCTCCTATCTCCCTCATCGCTCCGCTATTCGACCTCCGAATGCACCCCGACGCTCCCCCCGTCTGGGTTCGTTCTACACATCTTTGCCACTCCGCCTTTGCTCTTTTGCCTGCCTTAGCCCCCACCCGACAGTCACCCCGCAGTGGTCCGCCCCGCTTCTACACACTGCCGCCGCTGTCGTCTCTGCCTCGTTGGCTGCAACGCAGCGCTACCTGGCCAACCCGAAGGAGGACTTCGGGAAGATCCGGCTACTAGCCGGTTCGATTAGTCTTTCGCCCCTATACCCAAGTCCGACGTTCAACARCTCCAGCTATCYTGCGGGAAACTTCGGAGGGAACCAACTACTAGACGGTTCGATTAGTCTTTCGCCCYTATAGTCCWCCAGACGGTGTGCCTCCCRTCTGCGCCRCTGCTCCGCCGCTCGGCCCGCTSCTGCGCCRCGCTGCATTAGCGCCCGTCGGACTGAGGTCCGACGTTACCACCTCCCCTTTTCCTTCACCCCGTCCGGGTTCATTCTGTTCTCCTGTTCGCTACCTGGCCCGCGGGCTGATGCATAACACAGCACCACCGACTCCGCCGTCCAGGCTTTCCCTGCCAAGCTCTCTCTTCGCCCCGGCTGCCGGTTTCTTCAGCCTATGGTCCGCGGGCGGCCTGCCACAGCCCTTTCTTACCCCGCTCCGCTCCTACGGTGTCCACCACCACCTCGAACCCCCAACGGGCAAACTCCCGTTCAGTCAGTTGGCCGTGGACCCGCGGCCCGCTGTAAGGCCTATACGTGGGCCTTAGTGAGGCGAGCCCCGTACGACCTTCGACGGTAATTCCAATGAGAACTTTGAAGACCGAAGTGGGAGAAAAAGCCCGTGCGCGAACCGCGTGGGGACCGACGGTGCTCCTCAGCCCACACACCAAAATAAAATAGGATACAGGAATTCCGCTGGCACCCCAAGCGCGCGAGAACCCGCAGGCCAACCTTAAAAGGCGCGCACTCAAGGTCCTCGGCCGCCGTGACGACCATTAGATCCGGCGTCCCATCCAAACCAATGCCCTGCCGGGGAAGGAAAAATACGACAGTAGAATAAAACTATTTTAGAAAACGCCACCACCAATCGGACGTCGCCACGAACAAAACCGAGGAGGATAGCCCCATGGCCCTCAACCCCATCGGCCTTCTCCCCGACACTCCGCTATCGCGGCGTCGACGTTAGCCGGCCTCGATCCCCGAACCTTCGTAGCAGTAGTCCGATGTCGTAACCTATAGGGCTAAGCCCAAGCCTGAGACCAATATTCACGGAGCGCCACATAAGCAGTGTGGCGCGGCGCTATGGGTCGACAAACGGCTGCACGGGTCCTAGTGCCCGCGCTGGTTTGCTTATACCATGCCATAATTGCCCCGGGCGCCATCCTACGACACCCCGCTTACCGCACGAAGCCGCGCCGTCGTTGCCAATGCCGTTGTCGGGGCCGCTCTCCGCACGCGCGCTCGACTCGGTCAATTGTACCAATCAAAAGGAAACATCCTTAATTCCTGCTTCATCAAAAATAAATAAAATAATAAATAATAAAATAATACCACCAAGCAAAACGACTGAGGTCCGGGTTGGCTATACGATCAACAATAAAAAAGAATCACGCGTGCCTTAAGCCTGCGCGCCCACTCACTCGCTATTGCGGTCAACCACCGAGTCAAAGCAATTACTGACGCAGCCCCACTTAGCGCGGTATACTTAAACTTTAGACCAAAACTATTTTCTGTCACTTGCAAAAATCAGGGCGGATACCCTTGGAAGAGTATTCGCACCGACAGCTTACCGGACCATATTAAGTGACGTCCCCGTCGCTTCGCCAAATCAGAAAGCTATAAATTCATCCACACTCCAAATGTTGATGAAAAATGAGCCAATCCGATTAGCCAACAAACACAGGGTAGAGGCCTCCATCAAAACATGCCTCCACAGCTATATGCTGCCAGGTTTCTAACCTAGGCCTCTCACTGCCCAGAAAATTAGGACACTAACAACATAAGTTCCAAAGATTTTCCCAATCATCCTCTCGCCGGTTCTAGACAACCTTCGGCTTCTCGTTGGGTGTCCCTAGTCCTGGCAAAAACTAGGGACGCGCGCTTTAATCGAGACCTTTTGAAGGCACTCTCGCGTTCCTTCTTTAAATCTTTCGCATCAAATACACATAAGTATATATGTATACTTAATATTCGCTCAGCTCTTTCTGCAGTCTAGTACAGAAAGGCTAGGTCTCTACCTTGGCCCACCATAGCCTGTCTGATCGGACAAGGACCACGGCCCACCGCATTGTTATTTAGCGGCAGTACCTTCGTTGGTTACGCAACGATAGGTTTCCTCCTGATAAACACTCAATCAGGATTTCCCCCAAAAATTATCAACCATCATTATCCCGCGGAGTAATTTCACTGGGGCGGGCACCCCCGTTTAAACTATTACCCCGCGGTCCCGCAGCCAGGTTGCGCTGGCTAGCAGCCATCCAACGGGGTTACGCCCCAGAGGTACTAACTTCTTTTCCGTTAGCTTGAACTTTCTTCAATATGTCTCAGAATTAGCACTAGTGGTTAGACGGGGGCATCGCAAAACAAAATCACTGGCCCACTGCGCGATCACGCAGGGGTCTGAAGGCATTTACCAGCTCTTCCATAATAGGCATGGCATCCTTCGCACGCTCACAAACAAAATCACCGCTAGGTCCACCAGGCCGTGATCCCTGACTTGATCAGAGCCAGCAACCACCCACTCTGAGACATCTCTCGCCCTGCATTCATTGCGACTTTCTCAAACATTCYAAWCAAAAGTGACTCTTTTCGTCAGACTGTATCACCCATCAAACAACTCGTCATGCCATAAATCTGTTTACTCACCTCTGAGGGTGAGTCTTCCAACCATAGACCATTCCCMTTTTCCAAAAATCCAAGGGGCTCTCATCATAAACAAAAACACCCCCTCCTCCAAAAATCACGAGGGGTCTCGCCATAAAACCAAACTCCCCCTCCTCAAAACTCGAGGGGTTCTCATCATAACATACAACATCATAAAACATCCCCTTCCCCAAAAATCCAAGGGGTTCTCATCTTATGGGTCCTTATCACAACTTAAACAATCAATGATCAACATGGTAAGCTTTTTGAGTCTTCAGGGCTCATAAAAGATCCTCACAACTTTTCACAAACAGGCTGCACTCCCTCCCCTTATACTCTGCCCTATCAGCTGCCCGTGGGCAGGTCGGACAAGTATACCGAGGAGTAGACAATTTTGCTTACAATCATATTCACTGTATCTATGACAAAATAAGATGTTTTTCACACGTTGTCCACACAAACTCATCATACATCAGAGTACAACCACACATGTGAGAGTGACAAGTGATCGTCATATATATGAATGGTCCCTGAAAAAACCTCATCATAATATACAAAAAAAGCCTCACACAAAAAATGTTTCCTAATCATAGCTCACTTAACTCACCACACCAAACCCATACTGACAATAACCCCTAGAATACACGTCAGATCTGTCTCTCAAAACCTGTGCGTAGGCCACCTTAATATGTACATGCCTCATCTAAATCACCCTGAACCTCAAGACCCCAGCTCTGTAGGAACACTAGAGTTCAGATCTAGACTAATAGCAATCAACAAAAAGGTCCTCTAAGTCTAAGAGGGTATCACACAGACCCTAAGTTGATGCCTCACAAGATACTCGCCCACTTACATAGACAAACCGACACTATCTCCTCAACTCCTCCTGGTTTTGCCTATATAACTGAGCCCTAAGTCCATCTGCGGACTTCTCTACTATCCTACCCTATCTATCATACATCTTACCTCCTACCGCTGAGACCTTCCCTGCTGCCTTACCCTCAAGAAACTCGAGACAATCCAGAGCATGATGCATGTCCCTCTTGCAGTAGAAACATAGTTGATCTACCTTCCTCTTGAAGTTCTTCTTCCTGGGCTGAGGAGGTGGCGATGAARGAGATCCTACCAAGGTACTGACAACCTCCTGCTGCTCTGATCGAGGMGMTGYGGTACTAAYGACCTCCTKCTGCTCTGTCCCAGGAACCGGTCCCCTAGACCCAGATCCAGTAGTCCAAGATCTCAGTCTGCTCCTCAAATCCCCTGTCGCYGGGACGTACTCAGGCATGTCCAACCTCTGAGGTCTCCTCTCGAGTGTCTTTCCTGGCACTGCCGTGGGCTACTCCTCAATCTCCTCTGGTCCATACTCAGGTGTGCCCATCCTCTGRAGCCTGCTCTCGATGRCACCCTCCACCTCAATCCCCATCTCTCTCTCAAGCGGCTCCTCTATCCTCTGCTCGGGTGAAAACAAACTCGCCTCCTCCTGCATGGTATGCACTGCCTCAAGGAGTACGCTCATGGATCCTTCTGCTGACCCTTGAGTCGGCTCACTGCTAGATGGCAGTAGCCCTTCCTCAATCGCCAAAGGTATGATTGGGGCTGCCGCTGCCACTGGCAGCGTCGCGAGCTCAGTAGGGGCTCTAAACTCGAACGCCTCTCTCTCTGCCTGTCTCTGGGCTCTCGCCTCCTCTGGCTCCAGGATAACTCTTCCGATAGGTGGCTCCGGGCGAGGCTCTGCTGCAGATGGCTGTCCTGGTAACCCATGTCCTGGCTGCCTCTGCTCTCCCTGCCTGCTGCTCTCTGGCTTGTCCACCTTTCCCTGGGTTTGATGCTTCAGGCTCTCAATGATAGCTGCCTGGTTGGCCACCAATGCCATGAGTTCCTGAATTTCCACCTCCATAGCCTCCAGGCGTACTCCATGGCTTGCTTCCTTCATCTTTTTCCCTGCCAGATCGCTCTTCAATAACAAGTGCCGGTCAAAAGTGGTCTTGGCCAGGAACTTGATCATACGATCTAACCTTTCTTCCGCCTTCTTGGCCACCCCAAACCCAGCTCTGACTGGCGATGGAAGCTCCTCTCCTCTCTGCTCCCAGAAGTCCCTCCACATCTCAGGGATCTGCGGGGCCCTAGCTGGCGCGCTGGGTGGCTGACCTGGGAGTGCCCCTGCTGCCTCTGATCTCTGCCTCTGCTGCTGCTGCTCTGGAAGCTCCCCCGCTGCCTCCAACCTCTGCCTCTCTTGCGATATCTCGTCTATCCTCCTGGTCCTTCTCTCCCTCTTCTCCTCTGCTGTCTCTCCAGCTGGCGCTCTTTCCCTCGTGCGGAGGTCGACCCTCTTTGGGATCTCTGCTTCCATCTCCTTCTCGGGCTGGTACGGCTTCTAGCGAGGCTCTGCAGGTGCTGGCTCCTCCAGGTCTGGGTGCTCCAGGGCATGAGCTGCTAGGTGCCTGTCAATCAGGATCAAGGCTTCTCTCCTTACAGCTGCCCTCTCTCTCCTCCTTTCTGTCCTATCTTCTGGCGAAGGAGCCTTTCCTGATGAAGGTAATGGGACCTCCTCTCTCTGCAACCTCTCCTCTGCCTGCCGGGTGCTCCCTGGTGCATCCCCGAGTCTCAAACCCACTGCTGGCGTCTGTGGGGGCGTGTCCTTTCCAACCTCTATCGCTTCCTTCCCTGCACGTCTCCCCACATCGCCCAGCCCTCTCTCGCGCTGAGTATCCTGGACCTCCTCCCGTGGCACCTCCTCTCGTGGCACCTCCTCTACCTGCTCTCCATGCTCCTCACCCTGAGGCGACGCTCTCCACTGAGAGATATCCAGATGCGTCTCCAACTCCCTCAAAGGCCCCTCAGACACTAGCGGCTCCTCCTGTGTGTGTGCTGGCGACCTCCTCAATCCACCCTCAGTAAAACGATGGAACTCCACTGGTATGCCCCGTGCTCCTCAACCTCTGGCTCCTGCTCCGGCTCCTCTTCTCTCCTGGCTAGGGCCTTTCGTCCTCCTCGAGACGGTCTCGCCTCCCTGGGCTCAGGGTCCCTCTGCTTCTGACTCCTCTGACGCCTCTCAACTCTGGGCTGAGGGGGCTCTGGCCGTCAAAAGGCCTCTCTCAGATGTGCCCTGCAGCTCTCCCAGTCCCGGGCCATGCTTCTGATTTGGCTAGCCAGTGGCCTTTCCGCCTTCCTGGTCCAGAGTGGTAGCGTCTGCATCCAATCATCTCTCGCTATACCCTGCCCCTGTATGAACCACTCAAACGCGGGGATGAAATCCGACGCATTTCCAATCTCCAGGCGAATCGGCCTGCCATCTGCTCCCACAGGCGAGGGTCGCAACTCCTCCATCCTCAACTCCACCTCCTGCCTCGTCGTCGCCTCCCTACGAATCGTGGCAATGGGCACCTCGAATCTGCCTGCTCCCCTCAATCTCTCAATCGCCTGAGCCACGGTCCAGCCCATACGCCTCGCATGCTCCCAGAAACTGTGCAGGAATAGCTCGATGTCCCCATCATTGTAGACCGGAGTACTCTCTCGATGGYGAGGCCCATGCCGCTCATATCCTCCTTATGCGCCCAACGGCCTCTGAGGCGGCCGTGTCCCCTTCCCTCCTCTTGGCATGGCTGTCTTCGTAAAGTCAGACCTGCACAGCAGGCGAAGGAGACAACAGACACACATTGGGGTAAGCAAGCAAGTGATAATCAAAGCAAGCTTAGACCAGACCACACTCATGCAGCATGCATCCTACCTAATCGACACACCCTATTACTTTTATTYTAAAGGCAGTCARGTCATCTCTCTSTTACCTCTTCTTTCGCCACAAACTTCTTCAGTCGCGTTCCAGATACCCAATCCTTCCATTCAGTCACATTWAGCTCCTCAATYTGATACGCTCCGAAGTCTCSGACCCGTACAATCCGGTAGGGACCTAACCACCTCTTATCGAGCTTCCTGGACCATTGYTTCTCCAGTGATGAATCGTAGAGAAGCACGACATCCCCAACTGCCAAGGRTACTTTCCTCACCCGCGCAGATTGATCCCATCGAGCYTTATCATCCATACGGCTTCTCGCCACCTGGTCAGACGCTTCCTGGATCCTTTCTTCTATCGCCCCTATCTGCCGCGCCCGAATATCGAGCAACTCTTCAAATGACAGGTTGACTTCCAGATCCTGGCGCCTCCATGTCTTAAGAAAGTTCTCRATAGGGAAGGTGGCGTGCCTTCCATACSATAGTGTCRYCGGTGCGTACTTGGTGGATCTTTTTACTGTAATGTTCTCGACAACGAACGYCGCTCTTAGGTATCTTCGCCATTGATTAGGCCTACCTTCGGTCCACTTARCCAGGAGACTCGTAATGGTACTATGTCCTCTCTCTACGGGAGCATTCGCCTGGGGGTGCGCGGCCGTGGTGTAGTTGGCTGCCACACCATACCTTGATAACAATTCTTGCACCTCCTGGCAGGTAAACTCTGATCCCCTGTCCATTACGAATTCCYTGACGAAAGGATAGCGCAGGTAATACTCCTCGATGCAGCTCACCAGGACCGACCCGGTCTYTGTGCGAATAGCACGCCCGTCTACGAACCCAGACAGGTTATCGCGCGCATCGAAGATGTASTTATAGCCCTGATCCCCAAGCGGCATAAAAAGTAGATCGAGATGCACYACGGCCCCCACCCTCTCGCTCTACCCTTGKATGCAGYGRCTCTCCTTGCCTTAAACGGGATCTTTCCTKGCAAGGTACGCAAGATCGGCAGAACTTCCCRACTATATCCATCATCTCATCCCWGTAGTATAGCTCACTTATCTTGGCATACGTGGCTTGTACCCCTCGATGACCTCCAGCAATGCCATCGTGGAGCGCTGCTACGACGTCGATCTGACGATTCCTACCGCAGWYGACTCTCYTGGGATKCCCCAYTTCTSTTCTCACGAAAAGGTGGCCGTCTCGCACTAAGTAGCGCTGCAGCATCCTCTGAGCCCTATCGCTCGCATCCCTTAGCCGCATTTCGCAGGACAAAAGAAGTCCTAGCTCTAGGTAGATCCCGTCGTACTCCTCTGCACGAAAACCCTCCTTAATCTCTCCCTCCTCGAACTCGTCGTCCTGGCTTTCGGACACTTCGTCCACATTTCCTGTCGGGTTCAACGAGCCTGACTGGTCAAGGCCTTCTTGTAATAACGTGTTGACGAGGARATACATTCCCCAYATCAGGTCCTYATGCCGTTCTACCTGGCCAGGTCCTTCCTCAATCGTTCTCATATCCTCCACCAAACTATGCGAGTTGGCAAGCGCTAATTCCATCATCTACTGAACATCCTTACCACCCCAGGGATCCTTTTCTTCAAAGGGTTTGAGGACTAGCTCAGCCCTTCGTTCGTATCCATTTGGTGTTTGCAGATAGGATAGCCTACACAGCTGGGCACTCGCGGCGACCACTTATTTATATGGAGACGAACGTTTTCTTCCTGATCTACAAATCCATCAACTTGGGGTGTACTCTCCACCGCCTCCCCTTCCTGTTTATCCCAGTTGATCCAACTCAACCCGCCCGCCCGGTTTTTACTGCCAGGAATCCGTTCCAGTTCAAAATTGAACATCCAGATGTACGTCAACCATCTGGCAACCGTCGGATCCGATGGAACGTAATTCCTTAGAGAGTAGGCCAGGGCGGTCGGATCCACCCTCAAAATAAACCTCCTGCCGAAGATGTAGTTCCGGAAGATTCGCAGACAGTGGAGGACGACAAGGGTCTCCCTCTTGAACTGAGAGTAGTTCCTCTCGGTCGTACAGACAGTCTGATTCTCAAATCTGAAGGGTCTTTCCTTTCCCTCCATGTCTGCCTGGATTAGAACTCCTCCTAAGGCAGTTGGCCCCGCATCTGTTTCGACAATGAAGGGTCGTGTTTATGTAGCATCATAATCAGGTGCTCCTGACACCAACCCTCCTTCTCGAAATTCCTCCTTCATTCTGGCTACCACCTCTTCTTGCTCTTTACCCCAAACCCATTCCTGATCCTGACGGACTAACTTCCTCAGATGTTCAGTCTTAGCGGCAAAGTTCTTGACGAAGGTCCTCCAAAATCCACACGTACCAAGGAAGCTCCTGACATCAGTTATTGAGTGGAACGGAACTGGCCACTCAGTAATCTTGTCCGTCTTCTTCACATCCGGCCTTCGGCCCTTCTCGCTGCAGATGAACCCCAAAATAAACGCTTCCCTCATACAGTGTCTGGATTTGGCCCCGCTTGCCGTGAGGTTATGCTCCTCGAGCAGGCTTAAGACTTTTTCAAGGTCCTGGATGTGCTCCCAAACAAAGCGCCTTACCCCTGGCGAGACTTCGTCGCTCTCCTTTACTGTCGGCCCCTTCACCGCAAAAGCGTCGATGTATGGCTGTGTAATATGGGGGTTGACTGACTGCATAACCCGAATCATGGCCCGTTGGACCATAGCTACCGTGTTGGTCCAACCTTGAGGGGCCACGTTCATGTGGATTAATCCTCGTGGCGCTTGCATAGCCGTCACAGGCCTATCCGGCGGGTAGACTGGAAACTGATCGTATCCTGAGTAAAGGTCTATAAGCGAAATTATAGGCCTTCCAGCACAGGATTCCGACAAAGCATCCGCATTTGGCAGTTCTCCAGCATCTCGCACGGTCACCGCATTTAACCTCTGCAGATCTTGCACCCATCGCAGCGTCCCGTTAGGCTTAATGAAGCAAAACCACAGGGACGCATACGGTCCACTAGAATAGTCGGTGACGTGCGTATGTATTTTGCCGTCGAGGTAATCCACCACCTTTCTTTCCTCGTCAGGATTGGGATATCACGCCCTTCTCATGTTCCAAGGCTCGTGTGGCACGGTGTGGATGCGGATCATAGGTATCTTGTCCACATCCAGCCTGCCACGCTCCTCGTCGCTAAGCGCATAGGCGCGATGCCTCCTTTTCATTAATTTCACCACCAATGTTCGCTCTTGAGGCAGTAGGAAGTCGGACTCCCCTATGATCAACTCCTCCTCGTTCCCTTCGTTGATACGACATGGCCCTGGTAAAGCACTTTCCCTCATTCGCCGTATCAACCCTCGTCCCCTTTCGTAATATGCTTCCTCGTCTTCTGTAACAAGGACGGGAACCGGACGGCACTTCTTGTCTACCGTCTTGTACCGCCTTTGGGAACCCTGCTTGAGCCGTCCCCTAAAAAAGGCCGACTCACAGATTGCGTTTGCGCTGATGCGGGGTTCCCTCCTCTGCCTGGAAGCCGATATACCAATTCCAACCTTCCTGCCTCGGGGCATTCCAGAACTTGCTCCCTCAAAGCCTGGATGGCATCCGGATCTGCCATCTCATGCGCGGCCACCAGGTCCATGGCCTTCCCAATATCTGACAGGCTGAGGGAAAATGCTTTCACCCTCTCTCCTGCTTCGGGCTCTGCCCGGAGCCTCCGGCGCTCTCCTTCCGATTCCTCGATCGTGAACGATCCTGGATTGGGCCGGTTCCTTATACCCCTTGGCCCGGTGTTCCTGCAGGTAATTATTTCGTAATTCCCGCAGGCAGGATCGCATAAGAGAAGGATTAGAGTCCCGTCATGTTTGTTGAACATCACGGTCTCTGTCCTGCTTAGGAATGACCTCCCCAGGAGGATTCCGTGATCCACGTCCGGCATGATGAAGAAGCAAGCCCGGGCCTTCACCTTTCCAACCTCGATGAGTACATTCGAGGTTGTCCCACAAAAAACGGCTTTGCAGCTGGCTTCGTGCAGAATACCGCAGTCAGAACGGTCTATATCCAGCCCAAATCTGATTGCGTCCGCCTCCCGAGTGATGTTAATTTCGGCCCCGGTGTCCACCATTGCCGCACACTTGGAGCCCTTCACCACGAAATCCACCGTGCCGCAGGCTACACACTTCCAGTCCATTTTCATCCCCGACTCTGCCCACTCAGCCTCCTTGGGCAGAATCATACCCAGATGGACATTGTGTACCAGGCGCTACGACAATCTCCCCTTTAGTTCATCGCGGAGTCGCGGGGCCGACGCTAGGATTTCCTTCTGAGTCATGAGGTTATTATGCCCTTCCAGCAGCCTGTCAATTACTTTCTCTACGTCAAATTCCTCTTCCAACCGAACCACGTATTTCTTCTTTTTGGGTGGTCCGTCACGTATGACTGGCTCGGCCTCTCCCCTGGTTCCCTTTTTTCTCGCCCGCTGCCCCGTTCTCTGATCCTCTCCTATGCGCAGCCTCACGTCCTCTTCCTATTCATCATCGTCGTCCTCTACTTCCACAGCCTTTTTCCTTCTCCCTGGTTCGGTTTCCCTCCTTGGAGGCTCTTGGCTGGCACTAGCCTTGGCTTGATTCCTCGTTCGCGCTGCCTGTGCCAGCCGGGCCTGCGGAGTGAGGGGTCTCCCCATCATTCCCGATTGTGGGCACGACCCCACCACATTTACTCCGGGTCGCCCAGGCGCTGACTCCGGGCCGGAGTCATAGAGAAACACTTTGGGGATGTTAGACCTCCATCCCTTCACTTCCTCACAGAGACCCACCAACTTTTATTAGTACCTCCCCATCTTATCTAACAGGTCCTCCATTTTCCCAAATAAGACGGACGGAGGCTCCATTCTTTCCTCCTCATCCTCGTCTTACTTTCTCCTCGTTGCCCTTGAGCCACTTCCTCATCACTCCCCACTTCCTCTAGCCCAATCGGTGGTTCCTCCTTTTCCTGCCATAGCTTGAACATGGCAGGGGGTGGCGGCCCAGCTGCCGCTCTTCGTTGGGCTTCAGCGCTCACTCCTCCAAGCCTTCTGTTAATTGCCTCCCCAAACTGACCGTAGATATTCCCATCCATAGTGGAGGAAATCAGTCCACTTTTCTCGTCTTCCCGTCTTATATTACAGAACCTTATAGTGTGGCCTTGTTGGTCACAATGTTGACAGATGACCGTCCTCCAGTCAAAACGGGGTCTTCCATACCCCTGACTTCCCTGATCCCCCTGGCCTTGATACCCCTGGCCTTGGTATCCTTGGCCTTGGTACCCCTGGCCTTGGTATCCCTGGCCTTGGTACCCCTGGCCTTGACTCCCTTGGCCTTGGCACCCCTGGCCTTGACCATTCCATTGCCTTCCTTTTCCGCCGCCATTCCTGCCTCGCCCCCTTCCTCGACCCCTCTCTCCGTTGCCTTGATTGCTCTGCCCCTGGTTCCCACCTCCTGCAACACTGCCCTGTGAACTGGGAGCAGGAGACGGTGGCGGGGCCACCGGCTGGGCCTGGCCCCGGGGTAGATGGGTGGTGGCATACTCGTTTGCGGTCCGGCTACTAGCGGCAGGCTTCCCCATGGCACAATTGCATTAATCACCGGCCAGGGCCACTGTCCGTAGGAGGGCGCCCCACCTTGCGTGGGGCCCGTACTAGATGATGGAGCCGCCATATTTAAAGGGGCCGCTGCCTAGGCCTGAGGCGCCTGCGCTTTTCCTGATCCCTGTCCGCCCTGCGCCAAATTACGCACTTTGCGCTGGACCTTCGTCAGGTGCTGCGGCATCGGCTCTTCCTCTTCCCAGAGCTCTTCCTGAACAGCCTCCTCTATCACCGGCTCCTTTCCTTTCACTTTGACAGCCGTCACCACCATCCTTTGCACCACCAGCTCTGTCGCATACCCTAGCTGTGCCAATACGTCTGTAACAATCCTTGTTACCCCCGGGGTCCCAGAAGCAGTCGCATCTCTTTCCTTTCTCTTCTGCCTTTGCAGGCGTACCTGACGTTGCTCCACTCTGGTCCAAACACCCAACTTCCACCCCTCTATCAATGGTGGTCCAGGTAAGCTTAGTGCTACCTCCTCCATGCCTCGTCAACTCGACGACCTCCGATGTCGTGAGTAGCCCCAGGAAGATGGCGCATTGTGCTTCCTCCGAAATCCTATGGACCTTCTGCGCTCTCTTCTTAAATTCTTGAACAAAGGCCCCTATTGTCGTAAAATCTTCTTTGTTCATCGCCTCAAGGTCTGCGGTAGTCAATAGCCCGTCTCCCAAATGGTACTTCCTCTGCATCCCCTCCTTGAACCTCTCCCAGCTACTTTGAGCCGCATCTATGACTTTCTTCACCTCCTGATGGTAGCTGTGGAGGACATACTGAAGGATGCGTTGAAACTTTACAACATCCGACCGCCCAACCAAAGCTTGTTCCACCCTCTCTAGCCGTTCTGAGACTCTCTCCCCACAGAAATGGAAAGTATCGACCTTTGGGATGTTGCTCGGATTCCTTTCATGTCTTTCGATGGCCGCGATGAGGTCATCGAGTGTTAGGCCCTTCTTGGGAGCAACTAATGCGCCGCCAGTCTCAGGCATCTAGACAGCCTCTTCTTTTCAAGTTCCCTGGCAAAAGAAAACAGGCACATCCCCTTATTCAACATTATACCTTGACCGGTCTATTCCATCTGTCCTACCTAACTCTTACTACGTACCTTTTTCCAATACTACACGTTCACCCTTCATCCCTTCCCTTACTCAGGTAGGTAAATTTCCTTACCTATACTCAATCGTTCTATATCTTTCCTCACTTTCTCGTCTTTCATTTATGCCTTTTCTCATTCACTTCTCATACCCGGATGTCGTTCCACCAGGGACAACGGTAGGCTTTCCGTTATCCCCGGCAACGGCGCCACCTATCGAGAGCGCATCGGTCCGGCACCGCACCAAGGCAGCGCGGGACCCTCCCGGCCTCGTCACGCAGGAGTTGGTTTTTAAATCCTTCGTCGCAATATATACGGAGCTTCCTTAGGCCGCTCCGGCCGAGTGCGCCAGCCAAACCTCTCGCGAGCCCCTACGACAGGATAGGGCCTACGCGAGGCACGACTTACCTACACCTTACGGGAGTTGTCACCTCCCTTTGGTGGGCGTATCCCCGCCGAGCTACCAGCCCATAGTACGAAAGCTAATCAGTTGCAATCGCAGAGGTAGACCAGCCGAGGGCATTTCTCGTTCGTTGTAGCATAGGGGGTACGCGCGGTAATACGCCTTTATCGAACCCGGACGCGAATCGGCATTTTGGGGGGGCTGAGGTCCCAAGCGCGACCCGTCATCTGTCCACTAGGACGCTTCCCACACACCACGCGCACTCCACTTTACGAATACACATACACACAAAACAACACGTATACGAAACGACACAACACAAACAACGCGACAACGCTCCTAGCCCCTTGGTAGCCAACCCATAACTTTCCAACGCGGAAATCGAATAGGCGTCGCGCGCGAGACTCAGTATAAAACTGCGCGGACACAGGGCTATCGCATATCGACTTGCAATGCAATTGTACGCAAGCAGTCACAATGAAGGCGTACTACGCGGTACCCATTCTCACGTGGTCCCCGTTAATCGCGAGGGCCGCGTTCGACACTCAAGTGTCGGCTGACACGCGCCTTGAGGGTTAATCTCTCGACGCTGGACAACCGTCATGCGCGGTTGAAGACCACACCCTCTTCTGCACCCTGTGCAGAGGAGGTTGAGTAGACAGCCTTAACCTGTCGTGGCGGTAAAACATCAAGGGGTTTGACTTTGGTGGCTGCCAAGGACTATAACGTCGAACTATAAAAACTCCACAGAGCAAAAGATAAGGAATGGGCCGAAGGTTCCCTGCCTAGTAGACAAAATCATAGCCCTGGGTAGAACACCGAAATAATCTCTAAGTCTGGAAAATCAAATTCTGTCTAACTCTCTGAATTAGTACAAATTTGGGCAGCACTCCCTTTAGAAAAGGAGACTTTCCAGATTTATACTAAGCCAGATATAAAGCAGAAAATAATCTCCAACTCCTGGAAGATCAAATTTTGTCTAACTCTCTGAATTAGTAGAAATTTTGGCAGCACTGCCTTTATAAAAGGAGACTTTTCAGATTTATACTAAGCTAAATATGAACTCGAACAACAGCTCGAGCTCAACTTTAGACTGAATTTAACTAACTCCTTTAATTTTGTAGAAAATTTCGGCAGCACTCCCTCTAGAAAAGTGTTATTCTAAAATTTATACAAGACTAAGTTCAGATTTTGAAAGTAACTTTGGCTTCCCAAAGTTCAATTTTGTCTAACTCCCTGAATTAGCAAAAATTTTAGCAGCACTCCCTTTAGAAAATGAGACTTCATATATTTTATCTAAGCCAGATATATGTAAAGGACAAGTTGAACTATGACAAGTCAAAAGTTGACTAACTTCTTGGATTTGTAGAAATTTCGGCAGCGCTTCCCGTTGGAAAAGTGGCTTGCCAAGATTTATACAAAGCCA